GAGAGAGAGAGAGAGAGAGAGAGAGAGAGAGAGAGAGAGAGAGAGAGAGAAAAGTAAGTTCCGAAGCGAAGCGAGACTTTCCATCGTTGAACATTCGGACATGATATCACTGGACGACGTTCATTATGAGGAAAGAAAATTTGTAATCACACAAAATGGCACATCTTTCACGAGACGCCGGGAGACGAAGAGAGATGAAAAGAACGTCGAGCGTTTTCGCTCTACGACGAGGTAAAATATCTGTTTGCCTCCTCTCGTTTTTGTACTTTTCCGCTCCGATCAGAAACGTCTTTCAGAAACTCGACCTCGATAACAGCTGCTTCTTCCTGGACGGTCTTATTTGACTTCTCCGAGTTCGCTTGACGTTTCCGTTCCGTTAATGAAAAATTGACTACTCGCTACGTGACACGCGAAGATAATTAAATAGCCGCCGTCTCTCCAACATTCTCAATAACTCGAATATTTCCTTGGCGCGCGAGATATTATGTCCTCGCGCGTGATTTTCATATTTGATTTTCATATAAACGTCGACTCGTTTGTAATTTTATTTTTATTAATTACAGTTTTTATTTATATCAGCACAGCTCAGGCGCGCGCTACGCGCACGCTATTATTGTTTTTATTTTATTTGTGTGTTGCGTCACTAAACACACAACCTGTCGCCGCGATGTGAGACAGCTAGTATATACATCTTACAAACTATATAATACACATTAGAGAGATGTCAGAAATAACGCATGAAAATCAAATTCAAAAAATAATGAGACGAAGGAGTGGAAAAACAAACTAAAGTCACGTGACTATATTTTAGTAGTCGAAATATGGATTTTTTCCTACTTTTTCTTAGTTTTTTTCATATTTTCCCTGCATGTTATGGAAAAACTAAATACGCCATGTGATTCTATACTTCTACGACCAAAAATCTATAAAAAATCACTCGAATTTTACTTGCAAAAATCGACCACTCTTTAACATCCTTCTTTCTCTCTTAACACATGCGTATATTTTCAACCCTTCAAAAATTATCTACAAAAAATATAAAAAATAGTTTTTAATTAAAAGAAATTACAAGTGTGTTTCTCTACAAAAAAAGAGAATAGAATTTCAAAAAATTCAACATAGCGATACGACAGATAACAAAAATCGTTGTAAAAGCGATTGGCGCGTCGAGAAGTAGCGTTTCTCGAGCCCAGATTGTTGCCTCTGGTACGCGTTACTGATAAACACGCGGATTCGGCCCGTTTCAGAATTTACGATAGTTGCTTACGGCGCGCGGTCGCATCGGGAACGCTGATAAAAGTAAACGCCGAACTCCCTTCGCTCGCGAATTATCGCCGGCGAATTTACGGCGTTATCCCCCGCTATCTTGATTGGCGTCGGTGGAAACGCGCCCGTCACCCCCGGATCGGCCACCGGAAATGGCCACGGATGAACAGCCAATGAGCGTTTCGGGCTCTTGCGTGTGACAGAGTAACGAGACGTACATTCCGGTAGGATTTTATAGCACCTGGTCCGGGTTACCCCGGATCCTAAGCGAAAACTCGATTCTCGTCCATCTCGCCGGAAACGGACAGACCGTTTTGTGATTTATCGCGTGTGCCGGAGAACGGAAGGGTCTGTCTACAAGAGAGGATCGTTCCTGTTTGTGTGACGAGAAACTGCGCTATCGAACACCGAGGGTGCCGGGTTAATGACACGTTAAACGACATAGAAGATCAAGTTTCCAGAAACCAGATAAAAAAAATAAATAAAAAATACAATAATATTTCGCGAAAATCGCAAAAAAAAAAAAATAAATTGTAACTGATCGGAACAAGTTTGGGAAAGCGAAAAATTGACGCTTCAGAAAACAGAAAACGTGATATGTTTCTCGTGCCAATGTTCCCTTATGACAAAAATGATAAATGAGATAAAGGGACGACACGACGGGAACATTTTGGATATCTGCGGCGGGGATATCGCGGCTATGAAGTTTTTTTTTACGACGGCAGATTTTTTACGCGCGCATATGGCCGCGGGAGTTTTTTGACGTGAGCGCGGCGCGATTCCCCCGCGCGACGATCGACGAAATAAAAGAACCGAGACGAAAATTCTCTTCCTATTCCTTCTCGCCTTCACCGTGGTTTCCGCGCGACTTTTCGTTCTCGTAAAGTTTTTTTTTTCTTGTTCTCGCTTTTTCCGCGGGAGTCCCGTGCGAAGCGCATTACCACCAATGCCGCCCCCGTTAGCGTTTCCGGCCTCGCGGTAAAATACAGTCCCGCGGCGATCGCGCTTTCGTCGAAAGTGCGCGCCCGGCTACTATTTTATTATCCGCGATAACGATTACAGGTTACTGCCGAGCGTTTGCGTCCAACGCGGGTTTTCATTGGGCGCGAAACAATGTAGCGAGAATCGTGAAACGCGAAAAGGTGGAAGTTATAAAGTTGCGCCTAGCTGGCTTTTCGAAGTTCGTGCCGGTTGTTTTTTTTTTGTTTTTTTTATTACAGCGAGCGAAAAAAAATCTCTTTTCCGTTGAGGGATAACAAGAACTGTTGTTAACTCGGAAGACGGATAATAAAATTTAATATCGTTGTCAAAAATTTCTTTCTCTCTTGTCAGAGCTTCGACGATTAATTTAATAATCACATTTCTTCTCTTGTAATATAGAAATTTGGTAGCACAACAATCGTTCCGATTTCGAATTTTTTGAGAGAATTTCAAGACACAATTTTTCTTCTTCGGGATAAGAATAGACTCTTTGGCGATGAGCCTTGTTTATTCTCCGATCGAGAAGAGCCTTCTTCGGCCGGAGGCGTCACATCGATCTTGCCTTTTACCTTCGGCCGACCCAAACCCTCGCCCAACATTTGCGGGCACCTTTAACCCCGATCGTATCGCCGGCGACTGCCCGCTTTTATTTTGCCGCAACACTTCCACCCACCCACACCCACACACCCACACACACAATACCGAGCTTATTTATCTCCCGCTCGCGGACGTGGCCGGGCTCGTATATAGTTTCGTATTCGTTCGTTTCCGCGAAATCGGGCGGAAAAACAGCGCGGATGAAAACGAATGATTGAAGCGGTGCGGAAAGGTCAACTTTGATTAAAATCGTCCTCCACCCTGTTTCTCAATTTTGGAGGGGAGGCGGATATTTCCACAAAAAAAAAAAAAAAAAAAAAAAAAACGTCTCCACAACCGCGTCCGTTCCCTTGCGGATCCTCTCTCCGGGACATTTGCGGTCGCGGCAGTAATACGAGAGAGAGTTACACACGATTTTCCAATACACTTTTACCTCGCGAACGAAAAAGAAATAGATTGAACGGAAAATAATTCGTTTTTGGACCGTTCTTCGGACCGCGAGGATGGGTTATTGAATTTTATATTAAACTGCAATACGCGAAGAAAGAGGAAATCGGATTTTTATTAAGATTCTTCAAATTTGCATTTGTGACGTTCGTATGTACGTAAGGCAAATTTGAAAAAAAAAAAAAAAAGAAAAATTATTTAAAAACCTCTCGTCGCGCACGTGACGCGAACAATTGACGCGAACGCGTCAATAATATCGAAACGAAGATTTTTTCTTGTTCGGTTTGGATTTGCGTGTTTGTATCCAAAAATAGCTCTTCTCATCTGTTATTGAAATCCAAAATCGGCTTTTCGCTAGACGCGAACTGTCATTTAAGCGCATCCGGCTTTGAATGTAATTATATACGTGAGAGAGGATCGCGAGAGAGCAAACAAAACGTCAGCGAACGCTGACGACTCATTCCCGCGTCGTTCAAGTCAGTTTTCACGTTTAACCAACCCCGATATCGCATCCGTACAGGAAGTAAGACGATCTGGCGAACGCGCGTAATTTCCACGAAGTCACCCGGCTCTCTCTCTCTCTCTCTGCTGACGACGCGGTGCCCGTTTCTCCCGTCGCGTGACACGGCGATTTAGTTCCTCGTATCCTAATTAAGAACTCCAATCCCGCGATTCTTATTCCCGACCAGAGACCAGGCGCTTGGTCGATGTTCCCAACGGCAGTTACTCGCAATTGGAAATTCTCTCGGGCGACTGACACGTTAGCTGTCGAGCGCCAAATGCGGGATTCGCCGAGTTAAAGCCGAATTATATTGATTGAGGATTGATTCACCCGTAAACGTTAACTTTATGTAACTCTTTCTTTTCTTTTGCGCGCGCGCGCGTTAAATTACTCTGTCAAACGACTCTTGCGGAGATATATTTATCTCTGCAAAATAATTATGCGACATGTAAAAAAGAAAAACGTCCGTTTGTGGAAAGATTGTTTTTTCGAAAATAAATTTTAGAAGGAATTTTAGAACGAGACAGGTCTATAGCTATGCATCCTGCAATGACAGGGCACGTTGTTTTTCGTTTTTTTTTTTTTTTTATTTGTCGCGGCATGCTCTCTCGGTATTTTTATAAATTGTACTTACCTGCGACGATTTCGCTCAAAAAGTAGAACAATCTAAAGTAAAGCGGGATCATGTTGCAAGGATAATCAAGAGGTTGCTATTAAATTACTTGCGCTTGTTTTTTTTTTGTGTGTATATATGTATATATATATTTATAATCGCGGTCATCATAAAAGTACAATAATAGCTTTATATCAAATCACGAGGAGAAAGTCAATATTCACACGAGTAGGCGTGGGCGATGGCTTTTCGAGAATATTCATTTTGCTAAGGATCGTTGCGTGTGTTGGTTTTCTTCCTCTGTTTTTTTTTGTTTTTGTTTTTGTTTGTTCTTAACTCATTCATTCGTTTCTCTTCTTTTTTGTGTTTTGTTTTCTTTTTTTTGTTTTTTTTTTTTTACAAAAGTGTGTTTTTTTCCTCTTCTCACGTGCGATCCCAATGGGAAGAAAAAAAGAAAAACGACCGAGCGACGGAGAATTGTGTGAGAAACATTTGAAGAAGAAAACAAATGAGGAAAGTGAGAGATATTAAAACAAAACATCGGTGTAGACAATCAAATAATAATAACAACAAACAGTTTACAAAACGCAAGGTAAGGTATATAGTATATAAGTATCGACGGCATGCGTTGTTGCGTCAGTTCGGGAGGTATTGGAATGTGATGACGACTGACGTGTCACCGTACGCGCGAGCGATAACTATAGTAGCGATCGCGGTAGCAACGAGAGAGCAAAAAAAGTCTGTTGGTTTTTCCAGGATGTAAGGTGTGTGTGCGCGTGTGTGTGTGTGTGTGTGTATGTGTGTATGTGTGTGTGTGTGTGTGCGAATTGCGCCGATCAGCCGAGAGACACACAGTTTTTGTTCGAGGTGAGAGAACGACAGTTGACACGCGATACTCTCTTCGTTCTCCTCTTCCTTCTCGCTCCTTCTCCTTCTCGTCCCTCTCTTCCTGTTTGTCATCACCGCTGTCGTTTCTTTCGCCTCCTCCCCCTCTTGATCCTTGCGATTACCCCTCCCCCTCCTCCTCCCTTTGTTCGCTCACGCAATTGATAATCTCTATTATCTCATTTGTACAAATATATAACAATATTCATTCACACAATAAATTCACGAGTAACGAGTACGATTACTGGTGGTCCGTGGTTCAGCTTAATGTGTAATACGGAGGCCACTTTACGTAGATATCCCTTCACCCTAGTTGCAACGACGGGATGTCGGTAGCCTTCCTGAAGAGAGGTGAAGAAAGAGACGCGAGCGCGCGCGAGCGGCTTTCGTTCTTCCGAATGAAACTACCACGACGACGGTCATCGATCGCGCCGAGGGAGAGAGAAACGCTGCACGAAGGAAAGAGATTATACATCAATGGATATATCAATGTTTAAAAGATATACTATTTTGAACGAACTGGCATTCGCAACGTGCAACATTTTACGCGAGAGCGCGCGACGATAATGTTATATCTCGCGACGACGAGACAATCGACGAACGGCTCTCGGCGCCGTTTTGCTTCAAACAGACAGAAAAAAAAACGTCGGAGGGGGAACGCGAAAGAGCGCGTGGGATCAACAAGGGCGTTCGCTAATCAGGCACTTTTTATAAATGTCCTTCACCCTTTTCCTCCGTGTTTGTTTTTCGGATCACCGCGTCGAAAATGTCTCGATGCGCGCGACAAACGCGCCCGACAATGGCCAAAAAGTATATGTATATCTTTAGCTAAAATCACAATCCCCTGCTCATGCGCACGTTCATCACGCGATGGTGAAATAATCAATCACACACACACACACACTCTCTATCTCTCTCTCTCTCTCTCTCTCTCTCTTTTTCTTTTTCTCTTTCATTCTCTTCATCTTGCTATTTTCATACATCGTTCTACGGAGTTCTTCTACTATCACGTTTTCGACGAAAAGCCTCCTTCGCTTGCTCCTCCTCCTGTTTTCTCGTTCCGCTCCTCCCTTCATCCCGCTACGTCCTCACCACCGTTTTTCCCATCTTCCTTGTCATCACACATGAAACTTCGCTGACGCGAAAGCACGTAACTTCTGACTCGCGAACCAATCACAATCGAGACACGATCGATCTCTTTCTGCGACTCTTCGGCAAGAGGTCATCAGCTACGTCGTCGCTAACTAGGTCTAGGTCATCAGCTCCGTCGCGTCATCCGTGTCCGCTTCTTCGGATGGTTCCACCTTTACGGCAAGCTGCGTGTATCCCATATTAGCCTCCTTTCTACCGGACCAGGTCTGCAAAGCAAAGTCGTGACACGCAAGCTCATTAATTTCGCTCCCTTTTTATTTTTTGAGAGATGGCAGTAAAAATATTACGGAATATAAAAAAAAAACTTATTTTTAATTCTGATCAGATATACATGCCTGAAGAGCAACGAATATTGTTGCGAACAACGCGACCGATGCTAAACAAATGGCAACCGCCATGGTCGTGGCTGCTGTTACGGCAAGCGAACCTGAATCGTTGTTACTGTTTGTCATGCCGTAGTTTTTGTATGCTTCTAAATTTGCCGCGTCGGCGGAAAACTCCGTGCCCGGTACTCTCCTCTTACCAGCTGGTGAACTGTTTCTACAACCGCCTGGAACATAAATAACATAATGTTCGCAAATAACTCATTATACTGTGACAAATGTGATAAATTATTGTTGATAAAATTGCAACTTAAGCGCGAGAATCACCTGTTTCCGGATCACAAAGACAGCACTCTTCAGCCTCCGGTCCCTTCTCGTTGCCCGTACAGCAAGGCACGCACTGGTTGTTCAGTTTGTCCAGATGAAGCGGAGGCGAGCACGCGGCGCAGCTGAACTTGCCGGGGCCAGTGCATCTTCGACACTCGGTATGGCAGCTCTTGCAGAGCTGCGTTAGCGGATCGTAGTATTGCGCGCCCAGACACTCCATGCATAATCCACCCTCCAGCATCGAGTGAGGTGGACAAGATGTGCATTCCAGCGGGCCCTCGCCTGAATCACAAATTTTTTTCAACAGTACAAAATGTGCAAAAATTTAACCGATTTAACGCAAATAAACGACACTCACCTTTGCACGTGCGACAGTAATGATGACACTTCTGGCAACCAAAGTTGGACTTGAAGAAGCCTTCTGGACACTCCGGATGGCACTCGCCGGCAGCCAGTTGCCAGCCTCTCGGACAGGTTACGCACTGATCTCTTCTGGGTCCCGAGCACGTTTTACACGACAAGTAACACTTGGCGCACTGACCTCTGTCGCTGTAATAACTAAAAGCAAAACAGAATATTATAGTATAAAATATCAATCAATTATAAATCGCGTTACTTTGACAATTCTATCTTACCCTGAGGCGCACGATGATCTGCATTCTCCGCTCTGCAGCTGCAGTCCGTCTTGACAGGCCGTGCAGTTCAATCGGGACACGCAGCTCTTGCAAGTGTGCAAACAGGGAACGCAAACCGGTCTCGAGGGTTGAACCACGGAGTAATACGAGTCGTCGCATTGGGAAACGCAACGTTTGCCCTGAAGCAGCAACGGATTCGGACAGGATATGCAGTGATTCTCCGTGGAACCGGCGCAGGTCTCGCAGGACGAGTGACAAGATTTGCACCGTCCTTCCTCGTAGTATTGGCCTGTGTTGCACTTGCTGCGACTCTCGGGCGCGCACAGACCCTTTTTGTTCAAACTCCAGCCGTCGATGCAACTGGTGCAGCTCAGCGTGGCGCAGGACGCACAACCGGGCGGACACGCCACGCACTCGCGCCGCTTCTTGTCGGCGCTGTAACCCGCCGGGCACGAGCTGCGACACGTGCCTGCAACGATCGAAACAAAAATTTACAAAAAATTTCGATTTTCTAAATAATAAAAATATATGTTCAATTTCAAAAATTATAAAAAAACTAAGTTAAAATAGTTGTGTGCGTTTATACCGTTCAAAGCAAACAATCCGGATCGGCAGGAGATGCATTGGTCCTCGGCTGTGCCGTTGCAAGTCTCGCAGGTAGGATGGCACTGCGCGCAGTTGTAGTCCTGCGTCTCGTACGTGTAAGATGGACACGCGGCATAACACTTGTTCTCGTGCATCACCAAGTGATGTTCGCAGCTGGTGCATTTGTCCGGTCTGTCCTGGCAGCTGGCGCAATTGGCTTCGCACGGCACGCACGTGCTGTTCTCGGTATCTTTGTGAAAAAAAAAAAATAAAAAATTACAAAAATCGCTCGTTGTCGCACAGTGCAGATTTTGAACAAAAAAAACAAAAAAAAAAAAAACAATCGAATGTACGTACTTTCATAGTAGCCTTCCGGACATTGCTGGAGACAAACTGCGAGATCGGTGACGCGCAAATGAGCGGGCGCGCACGATAGACAGGAATCCTGACCGGCTCCCGCGCAAATCTCGCAGGACTCGTGACACGGCCAGCAGACGCCACCCTGATTCGGGAAGCTTCTTGGCGGACAGCGACTTACGCACGTGCTGAAAAAAGAGACAAGAGACCCCTCGCGCTGTTTCTAAAGCGTATTTTTGTACAGGGTCAGATGAAAGAAGACACCGAGTGACAACTAATGAAGTCCAGAATTGACAGGAAATGAAACGTTGTACGACATGTAAATTACACAATTACGTGAAAAAGAAAAAAAAAACCAGTGTGATGATCAATGTTGAGAATCGCAATACGAAAGGTATTTTGCTCTAAAGTGTCCTACCGTCATGATCCGTTTGCGTAAGCGTTGTGGAATTTCTTTCAAGATTAGTTTTTATGGAGACAGAATTGTACGTGCCATCTCATGAATTAAAGTGTGATTAATAGATTAATAGATTAATAAATTAATATGTTAAATATAAAATAGTAATATATTAAATATATGTTTCACATGCAAACTTAGAAAAGAAAGTTATTATATTATAAAGTTATTGTATATTTTGTTCATACACGAAACTACGAAAAGCTCAGTTTACTCACTTATCGAGACGATAATTTTTACACGCGACGCACTGGGTCGGGCCCTTGCCGTAGCATCCTTGAGCGTCGCACTGAGGATCACAGTCGTGTAATATCCTTCTGGTGGTATCTAGAGTGCCATCCGCTTGTGACGCCATCGAGGGCGAGTCAAAAGCGGATGACGGAACGTCGCCGGGCAGACGATTCGTCAAAAGCGGCGCCGATGAACCGTCCAACGTCGCCACGGACGCCTGTATGTTCGACGCGGCGGCTGCGAATTGGCCCTGGTAATTCTGAAAGGTAGACGAAGAAAAGAAGTCGCTGTTGCCCGGATAACCGGACAATTGTAAGCGATCATCTACCGTGGACGGATATTGCACGGAATAGGAGGGTAGGTACGGAACATGTACCGGATTAAATTGCCGTGTGCGTATCCGGATCGGGTTCGTCGATGTGCCGTAGAAGATCAATTGCCACTTCTTCAGTATGCCTGTAACAAAAGTTAACGAGCGCGCCGCGTTATATGACGGAGCAACATGACAATCGAAAAACTATTTATTTCGGTGCGATGTATGAGATTGATAAATTTTATTAAATATTTCTTCTAAGCGGACAATTAGTGTGTTACTTCTTGATGCGTGTGTAAAATTGATCAAAAAAAAAAAAAAAAAAAAAAAAATTACTGAATTTTAAACAGAAAAATTGAAAAAAAAAAAAAAAAAAAAAAAAAATCGAGAAGAACTTGCCTGGTGAATTGACGTGTCGGTTCCCCGCGTTAATGATCTGCAGGGTCCACCGACCGTCCGCTTTTTCGCCCCAGAAGTGTACGCTGAGGAAAGGCCAATCATCGAAGTTGGAGCTGAGTACGTCGCGCGGTCGTTCGAACAGTAAGGTTGAGGTTGTGCCCATCGGTGATGTCAGTAAAAGCCTCAAATTCCCTCGAGGGAAGAATCTCAGGGAAACCTAGTTCACGTTATAAACTCAATTTTCACAAATCCAGTTCGTTGCCACGCGGCAACGAACAAAAAAAATCATGCAATGCAAAAGGAAGGATAAATTCTATTAAAAATTTTCGCGCTCTTTTTACATTTTCTCCGATAACTTATAAATATATTTTTTTATCAATATTTAACACAAAATATTTCGAAACGCGCACCAAAAACTCTCGTTTCTCTTACCTTGCACTGCACGTGCTCCAAAAATCGGACCTCGTTCAATGATCCGGCGCATCCGGTAACATCCATGTAAACGCTCAGTGTGTATCCGTACGTGGGATCAATCGGTCTCTCCTCGTTTATCTCGTCGGACTTGCAGATGTGCTGGGGCGGCACGTTGGTCCACTGCTCGGCAAGATTGACCATTGCGCCCGCGTCCATCAGACCGTAACCGAACTTATGGGATACCTTTCTCTTCACGCCGTTTAGAATCCAACCGGGTTCGTTGCTGAGCGGCTCGGATCTCGAGGTGAGCACCACCAGGTACTGCATATCTCGCCAGGTTAGGCTGGGATTCGCTTCGAGAGCGAGGGCGGCGATACCGGCAGCCAACGGCGCCGAGGCGGACGTCCCGGTGTGCTCCACCGTGCAGATGTGATCGGGACGCAGCTTCGCGTCCATGTCCACGGTTGCGACGCTCTTGTCGTTGCCGGGTGTGCCGGACGAGTACGTCGACGCCAGGGTGGAGCTGCACTCCTCGAGATACCACGGCTTGTAGCCGCCTTGGGTCGCGCTCGATATCGAAAGCGTAAAGATGCTGTTTGTGTAACCGTCGCAGTTGCACGAGTCGGTGTGTCGGCCACCGTTACCAGATGCCCAGACAAAGATCGAGCCCTTACCTTTGCGGCCCTGCGAGGAAGGACAAAAGGAATCTCTCACGAATGCGTTTCTTCGAGCTGAAGGAACGAGTCGCGCGATCGACGAAGCGAAGGGGAATTTTTTTTTTCTTTTTATAAGACTAACAGGTGTATGTGTGTTTTTTTAATAATATAATTTTTTTCTACAGCGCGTTGATTTTTCAAAAGCACGTTAAACACGAAAGATGTTTTATTTTTAACCGAGTTTTTGTATAATTACCGAGTTTTGTATAAAATATACTTTGTATAAAATATACCTTGCGTTGACGAAGAGAAAATAAATACGACGTGTACTTGCAGTGCACGCTATTGTATTATTTCAGTTAGCATTTGTGCGGAAAAAAACCATTGAATCATTTTCAACGGTGTCGTGCGCGCAAAAAAACCATTTCAATGATATATACGGTGCCATTTACTTTGGAAGAATTTACAGAAAATAGAATTTTCAAAATAGAAAATAGCAATTTTTTTACCACTACGCAATACACACACAGACACACACACACACACACACATCTGTGTATGTTAAACAAATTATTTTCTGACGCAAGCCAATATTTGCTTTCATCTAATCGAAAAAAATAATTTGTGACGTGCAACTAACTCAATTTATTTAAACTTTCAAAAAATTTAAATGTTTATTCCCGGAATGTCATTTCGTGAAAAAAAAAAAAAAAAAAAAAAAAAAGAAAAAATGGTTAGCCGACGTTCAATTAAACGTCAAGATTAGCAATCTGAGCGCGATCGAGAGACGATCAAAACGCGTCCCACGACGCCCATCCGAGAGAGAAACAGAGATAGAGAGAGGATTTTTAAATCCTCTCGAGGTAATAGAATAAACTGTCGGGGAGGCGAAAGCTCGCGGCAGAAAGTAAATTGATCCCTTCGCTTCGTGGACGCGCGAAAAGCCCCGAGATACATATATGTTGGCTTACGCTCGTCACTCCGTAAATAAACGCTCTCCTGGCGAGAGGGCCGGGACCGTCGACGGTCTTGCCGTCGTCCTCGGGACCCCAGGAGGCGCTGTATATGTCGATGTGATCAGGATTCAATCCCAGCGCTCTGGCCTCGACGGCGTCGTTTACCGGGCCATCGAGCATTCGCACGCCTGAGAACACGGGAGATATGTGCGTGAGTAAAGTCTTTCCCGCACCGACGCCGGCGTGCCGCGATTTCGGCTCGTCGTGCGCGAATTTCTAATATCAAAATTTTATTAAAGAATAACCGAATGGAAAATGCGAGCTATCTTGTTCGCGATGCAGAACAAGAGAAATCTCGCATAAAACTTCAATAATCTGAGATTTCTCCGATCTTTTTTTCTTGCAAAAAAAAAAAAAAAGACTTCATGTTCCACAGACATTGTTTTTACATGAAGAGAGTTTCTATGAATATCCTGTTTAACAATTCTAGTCTTTCTCTTTGATTTTCGTCGTATCTGTGCATTCGATGTCCGCTTAAAGATCGACTTGTACCACTTGGGGAATATTTTCTTATTCGAGCGCGCGCGTTCGTTCGTTCTTGTTGAATCTTACGCGTCATGTGTAAAAATAAAAATGAAATTAAAAATTGATTTAATTGATACGGGTTTTTTTTTTTATATGTGATGCAAATCTAGTCATCCTATATGATTTAAAGAATTGTTATTTCAATTCAAAAAACTCACGTG